GAGAAACTGTGACAGAGGATCCAATTTCCCCAGAACTGAGGCTAGCGCTTTGTTTATATCGATTAGGCTGCAGAGATTATTTTTATACCGTTGCAGAGATGGCAGGTCTTGGAGTATCTAATGTCTGCTCTATCGTAAATAAAGTCTGCCAAGTCCTTGTTGACCATCTGCGGAGTGAGTGCGTGTCAAGTCATATGCCCAAGACTCAGGATGATTTCAAGAAAAAATGTTAGATATGGATGAGTTTTGGCAATTCCCTTGCTGTTGGGCATCAATAGATGGCTGTCATATTCCCATTAAATGCCCTCCTGGTGGACTAGAAGCCTGCAAGGAGTATCATAACTTTAAAAACTTTTATTCCATAGTACTAATGGGGCTGGTAGATTCCCATTACAGGTTTGTATGGGGCAGCTGTGGCTTCCCGGGTAACTCACATGATGCTGTAATTTTCGTTCAACAGACCTCTGGAACTCGATAAAAGAAATTTTTATTCCAATGATTGGCAAAACTGTGAGGGATGTTACTATCCAGCCTCTTATTGTTGGAGACTCTGCATTTCCCCTTCGTTCTTGGCTACTGAAACCATATACCAATGCTGTATTGACACCTCAGCAGCATTACTTCAACTATCCAGCCTCTCATTGTTGGAGACTCTGCATTTCCCCTTCGTTCTTGGCTACTGAAACCATATACCAATGCTGTATCGACACCTCAGCGGCATTACTTCAACTATCGCTTGTCTAAAGCGTGCATGGTCACAGAAGCTGCATATGGCCAACTTAAGGGGAGGTGAAGGGTCCTATTCAGGAAAAATGAAAGCAGCTGAGATCAAGCCCACATAACCACTATAGCATGCATGGTGCTTCACAATACTTGTATTATGCAGAGAGATGCCATCTCAAGGAAGCTTGATTTGTCTCTTAATGAAAGTGGTGGAAAGAGGAACACGGACGAATTGAGAAAGTTGCTGCAGATGGGAGACTGTCTAAGCATAAGGGATGCTTCTCGGGAGGCAGCCAGAATCAGAGATGCACTCTGAGAAATTATGGCTCGAGAAGCAAACGGGGAAAGTTTCGTAAACCCTTAATAACCCATGATAAGTGTAAGGGAACACTTCCCCTATTCATGCATGTAGTATCCACTTTGCACAAACTTAGAGCAAAATTGCTACCAATCTGCTAGTTTGGCTGAAATAGCAGAGCAGTTGCAAAACATTCAGTCAGTTTTACTTGTATTTGATAATGGAGAACTTGTGAGCATCCCTGATACCATGGAAGTGGTGGTAAAGCTTTTGTTTGATCTGATGTAGTTATGCTGGAGTATTTTAAAAAGATGCCACAAACCTGTCTATTAAGGTTATTTTTAAATCACAGACTTTTTAACCAGATTGTACAGGACAGGGTTAAGTGATTTTCTTTGGGCCATGAAACAGAAACCATGAGTTTGATACTATTTTGGACAACAACTACTGCAAACTGTTTCAGGGTCTGAAGAAAGTTACTTTCTAGAATTATTTCATAGTCACCTCTTTCATAAATGGCTGGTATTATTACCATCCTTTTGTGTACATGCAAATAAGCCTTCCTGGTCCCGATTTTGAGTGAAAATTCTAGTATTGTTACACATGTTGAAGAGACTAGGAAGGCTAATTTACATGCATATAAAAGAATAACAATAGGCCGGCCCCACCATTTAAGATAGAAGTCTATTACATTGCATAATAGCCCCACACTCAAAATGATTATGGTATTTTCATGTCTGAGTTTACAGCAAGTTGTTTTGACTGTCAGTGTCTAGGGCACTGCTTTTGATGTTCTTTGTTACACTTAGAAGTTGTAAAACATTCTAATCATTGATCATTGAAATATGAGTAATAATATAAAATGTTGATCAAAAACAACCATACTGGTTATAATAATATCACTAAATGAAGATATACCGTAAAGAGGGAAACAATTCTCTACATTGATCCATTTTCAAAAATGCATTTGCAATATTAAAACTATTGTTTATTTTGAAACTGAGTTGAACTGTTGTTGTTTTCCTCTTTGTATTAATAACTAGGTTCTTTTTTAATGTATGAAACTTTTGATGGAAGGGGAAATTTCCATGGATTGCATCATTGACTTCTTATAGCAGTAACAGTTCCTTCAACTAACCTAATTCACAAGCTTCCTGCAAAAGATTAACTATTGATTTCACATGTTTCTTTCTTTTTTTAAACATTTATAATATCAACAGTGACAGAGCAATAATTTCCTTAGACAAATGTACAAAAAAGTAATGAACATCACAGTCCAGTATAGTCCCTGTCGTCTAGTCTCATTGGGTTAGGGTAGGAGGCTCCAAATGACTATTCAGACATCCTCGGACCTGGATGACTTAGGGGACCTTGTGTGGCATTATGCAAGCTTGCGTAATAGCCAAGATTTCCACTGTATGGGTTGTGTTCATTTCCAGAATAAGGTGTGCTATTAAGGCTGGCATTAGGTCTGTGGCTGAGCAAAAGCTGAAACAATCTAAGCTCATGCTCTCAGGATTTTTCCATTTCTTCTTTCATGAATGATATCAGTTCTTTGGTGGGGTCGTTTTGAACAGCCTCTCATACAAGGGTCAATACCTCTGTTGTTGCTGAATCCAGTCTCTCTTTAGACAACTGCTTTCTTTTTGTTTTTATTGGAACAAATAGTTCTTTTTCCTTGACACTGTCATCTGAGATTTCCACAGACAAATCACTAGGTGAAATTGAAGCTAAGGGCTCTAGTGCCAAATCGGGCTAGCAAGATTCCCGTGTCTTCACCACTTCAAAGAGAGTGGTGAATCACTTGCCTAATCCTTGATCTTCTTGAAATCGTTTGATTCCAGTTGCAAATTTTTGTGTCAGAACTGCCTGCTTACACAAAGAGACACATTTTTTGAACTTGCTTCGCAATTGATTCACAGAGAAATAGAAGTGTTCACCTCTAGCAGAAGCTCTGGCTTTAACTTCTTTCAAAATTTCTCCATACAGCTCTCTATTTCTCTGATTCTTTGTATTTGTGAAAACAAGTTTATTTTTATATGAGCTGTTACTCACAATGATATCGATGAGATCATCAAGTGCCCATGGACACCACTTGGCTTTTCAACCTGGTTTCTTTTTCTTTTGTCCATTGGCTTTTTTCATGGAAAGTTTGAGAGATGTATCCAAGTCTCCACCCTCTTCAGCCTCTTCATCTTCTTCATCCACTTCTACCTCGTCATCATCATTGCCTGCTGTAGCCATTCTATTCCTACCAATGGAAAAACAATAACACATTATATTATTGCCATCCGCCACAAAATAAGCATGATGATAAGTCCTACAAATTTTTATCTTGTCCACTAAATAAACAATGGTATCTGTGCTGTCCTAGTATGTCATCAAAATTTGTTTTAACATTCTTTCACAAACTTTTGTAGTTGACTACTTAGCTTGTTTGTTATTGATAGGAAACAGGTTCTTAAAGATCACAAGAACAATAACAACTCTCAAACATGGCAGTAGAGATATTAAATTATAGCATCATCAGTATCTCGG